CGATTGAAGTATTGATTAATTCATTATAAAATTCTAATTCAATAATGAATATTATTGAAATTTATACTTACATACTGCAATTTATGTATTGATTAATTCATAATAAATACTAATTTGATAAATGAATATTATTGAAATTTATACTCACACTCTATAATTAATTGGAGTATTGATTAATTCATTATAAAATTCTTAAATATAATTAAATTTATACTCACTTTCTATAATCGATTGGAATATTGACCGATTAATTATTAAACTCTAATTTAATAAATAAATATTATACTTACATCCTGTAATTTATGTAATCGATTGGAGTATTGATTAATTCATCATTAAACACTAGTTTATTAAATAAATATTATTGAAATTTATACTCACTCTCTATAATTGATTGGAGTATTGATTAAATCATTAAAATTCTAATTTAATAAATAATATTATTGAAATTTATACTCACTTTCTATAATCGATTGGAGTATTGATTAATTCTATTAAACTCTAATTTAACAATAAATATTATTGAAATTTATACTTACATCCTGTAATTTATGTAATCGATTAGAGTATTGATTAATTCATTATAAAATTCTAATTTAATAAATAAATATTATTGAAATTTATACTCACATCCTGTAATTATATAATCGATTGGAGTATTGATTAATTCATTATAAAATTCTAATTAAATAAATAAATATTATTGAAATTTATACTTACAATCTGTAACGATTGAAGTATTGATTAATTCATTATAAAATTATAATTTAATAAATAAATATTATTGAAATTTATACTCACTTCTATAATCGATTGGAGTATTGATTGATTCATTATAAAATTATAATTTAATAAATATATTTTATTGAAACTAACCAACTTAATAGGTCAGAGTATTAATAGTAATTCGTAAGGAATTTTGATTTGATTAAAGAATATTGTTGAAATTTATGCTTACTGACTGTAATTTAAAAAATTAATTAGAGATTTTGGTTTATTATACTGTATTTATCATATAATAATTATTTAAATTACACTCACAATCTGAAAATTCATATTAAAGTATTTATTAATTGTATTATGATGTATCACTAATTTAATAAAGGTTGATGTTTTATGCTCACCCTCTAACAATTCATAAACGTATTTGATTAATCAACTGTTTTATTATATTATGAACTCCAATTATGTTTAATGAGTTTGAATTTACACATCACCTTCTAGCAATTCGTGTAATTAATAAAATAATAAAAGAGTGTTATTTATACAATCATGGTAATTCAAATAAATTTTGGATTTATATACTACATACTAGCGATAAAAATGATTTTACATCATCCATTTTTTCATCCAGTATTTCTAGCTGCTGTTGTCTACTATCAATAACTTTCTTTGGAATCCCATATAGAAATAATTTTGTTGCATGTTTCATCATGGGCATAAATCGGTTACTTGGAGAAGTTAATTCATTTAGATCATTAATTACTAAAATAAATATAAATATATATAAACAATTAAAACCTAATACAAAAAAAGCAGTACTTCATTGTTCAACTTTACCTTTGAATTTCAAAAGCCTAGATATGCATTCTAAATTAATAAATAAGTTTATTAATTAATAATATGATTTATTATTCTTAAGCTAATACGTAGTATAAAATACTTTTTAGGATTTCTTCGAGACCAGGACTAATTTTTTCTTCTTTTGATGTTATGGTACATAAAAACTCCTCTCCTAAATGTTTGATTTATGTGAAGAATTAATTAATAGCTATTATTTATAACACGATATTAATTGTTTACATTACATTACCAACAAAATTTTTGACTTCTTTTAAAAGATCGTCTCTACTTTTCTTATTTTTGTCCCAATTGTTTGCAACAATCATAATAGGAATTTCATTAGCTACATAATAGCTATCGTTGTGTACATATTCATGTGAAATATCAATTATTTTCTCTAATCCATCGGTTTGAGAAACATCGTAAACTAGTATAGCACCGTCAATATAGCTATAATAGCTATAATGATACAAGATAAATAAAATTTATCATTGTAAGAAAAAAACGTGTATTAGAAATATAAAAACTCACTTTTTATTTGGTCTCAAGTTCCATCCTACAAAAAATGAACAATAAAAGAAGTTATCAAAAATTAATAATTGATTTGCTATTTTATGGCATTAGTTAGCATTTCAAAATATAAGTATACATCAGAATTACACTAATATGGCACAAATTTATATTATTGAATGAAGGCAGAAAAATCGACAGTGTATGGCGAATCAAATATCTGTCTAATGCTTTTGGGTGTCCTAAAAAAATTTGATAGATATTTCTATTCATTACACGTAACCATATAACTTTATAAAAACCTGGGTTTAAAAATTCTACTTTAATAGTGTACTTATTATCCACATGAATGTTCGTGGTTTTTATAAACACATGCAAATTTTCGTCGTATATTCCTTTTTTAAAATCATTTTCGACAAATTTAAGATCAGAACTTTTAACATTTTCACCATCCACACCAACTAAAAATAAGGGTTAATATAGTTAATATAGTTATATGAGTTATGGTGTTCTTAAAAAAAATCATAATCTTTATTCATTGTTGGAGAATAGTTGTGGATTCCTAAAATAAAGTTCAAGACTCCGCATCTAAAGTTATCATCATTTATATATATATATATATATATATATATTTTAAGATGGCGTTAATTGCCGGTAATCTTTATTAATTTAAAGCATATATTGCTTACACAATTTGATTACTTTTCAATCTTAGAATAGGATTATTCTTAAACGCAAATACTGATGGTAATATAGGATTTTCATATGATCCCCTATCTTATCTGTTCTAACATATATTTTCCGCATCTCTCACATATCTGCATTTAAACTTCCAAGCAGGTGGATTGGGAAGGGACATTTGTAGCCTCACGGTTACTTCCTAACTTGGAGCTAACCTATTGAAGGCTATTTTCATATGAGACAGGATTTACTTCGATTAAATGTGATTATGTGCATTGTCTTTATACGTAACGAGAACTTCCCTATGTTGGTAAGGTATAGGCTATGTTTCGTATGTGCAAGAGTACTCCCAACTAGGCTCATAGTATCTTTTTTACTACGTACTTCCAACTTCGATTAATTGGTTGATGTTTAATGTTGGTTAGCCCTATTACCTATTTTGTACGTACGAGTATTTCCAGCTGGATCTACTTATAATTTTTACACACGTTCCCTGTATATTGACCATCTTCTCTATAGTTAGAATTTCTAATTTAGATTTTTCACATATGTTTGCCAGAGGTGTTTATTCTCTAGTAAGGCCTTGTATTACCCTTCCAACCAAGTACGTACGTACGTACCCAGAATGTTAGTGTTGCCTGGGTCCCCTCATAGGCACAGGACCTATGAACGCAACTAGAGATGCGATCCGTTTGCAGATCCTATTCAACATTTATGTGTAAACATGAGTTTTTGGAATGGAAACTGCAAACGAATCGCATCTCTAAATTATATAATACACGTATCAGAAATTTCTTTGAAGCATTAGTTTATATTAATCTTCTGAAAGACTAAATGGCTGAAAAATATAAACTAAAATCAAACGAGGATTTTGGCGATTGGGGAACATTATATAAAGATGTATTAAACCATTATAATATAAAATTCATATCAGAATCACGGCAGACGGATGTAGAGGTATTGTAAATGTATATTTGTGTATTCCTTCATTTAATGAGCAGAATTCTAAATATCTTTTTTTTATATAAAGATTTCTGAAAATGCTTTGGTTGTTAATCTCAACGAATTTTTTGCAAAGCAAAATAATAAAATTAAAGTAAACGTTATTCGTATTTATGGTGATGTAGTTCAGCTTTCAAATAATCTCGAAATTCAAAACTTGGAATGTTGTGGAATTATTTTAATAGCTGCAAGACGATTTGAAGTCAAAAAAATTTGTTGAATTTATATTAATTATAAAAAAGGGAAACATTGTCAATTATTGATATATGCTATGGGGGATGCCATTAGAACTTATTATCGAATACATTAAAAATATTAAAAATGAAGAAGAAAATGAAGAAGATAATGAAGAAGAATTTGAAGAAGAAAATGAAGAGAATTTGAAGAAGAATTTGAAGAATTTGAAGAAGAATTTGAAGAAGAATTTGAAGAAGAATATGAAGAAGAATTTGAAGAAGAATATGAAGAAGAATTTGAAGAAGAATGTGAAGAAGAATTTGAAGAAGAATGTGAAGAAGAATATGAAGAAGAATATGAAGAAGAATATGAAGAAGAAATTTAAGAAGAATTTCGGAACTATAGGGTATTTAAAATTAATAGTCCAAACATTGGTGGATTAATTTCTTTACATAGTGGAGAATTTAAAGATATACCTATTTTTGATAGTATAATTCTTCGAAAAAACCCGTTTTCTAAAATATTGAGATTTTCTCTACAAATTGCGATTGCTTTATTTTATGATCACGAAGTTACACGATCAATTCTCACATGGATTGTCAAAATCAGTGAACAATTAAAAGGCAGGGAGGAAAAAGAATTCGAAGTCGCAAAACAGTTATACGATCATGCGTCAAAAATGCTTGAACAATTTAATGTCTTCATTGAAAGGAAGGCAAGTAAATTTACTTTGGTTCCTCAACTTGATATGAAAAGTTACAAAGAACATTTAAATCGTTTAAATGAGTTTGTAAAAGACTATGAAGACAAATATAAAGATATTCTAAAGCAAGAGCGTATTGATAAACAAAATATAAAAAGTTAAAAAATAAGCTACTGGACCATAAGGATATAACTGAAGTACATGAATTTTTAGAAGAAGTAGAAAGTAAGCAATTTGAATCGTCACAGAATGTGACAACGAAAATTGAAAGTAAGCTTCAGGTATGTTTTATATTATTTATAGTAACAATTTCGAAAAAAAATTCGTTTTTTAAAAAGAAAAAAAAAAAAAAACAGGAAGGAAAAAGCCAAGCAGTAAATGCATTCAAGAAACTGGGTAAAGGAATTGACGATTGGCTGGAGGACCAAAAATTTGCTGCACAAAAAGAACTATTCTTCATTATTATTGATTTAATTTTAAGCATCTGTATAGCTGTCATCCAGCCTGGAAGTGTACGTAATATTATTGAAACAATAAAAAAAGTATTAGAATCAGTTCATAATATGGATATAAAAGGAAGTAAAGATCTGGTTAATATAACTAAAGATGACGATGTAAAAAACGATCTGGACCTAAAAAGTAAAGCTGAAGAAATTAAAAAAATTATATATGGACTAAAAGCTAGTTACAATAAAGCTGATGAACTACGTAATTCTATAAATAAAATGAATAAAAACCTCGAAGATTTCATTCCTGAAAATCTTAACGAAAGGTAATATTGAATTGTTATGTTACTCTAAATTATCAAAGTTATCAAACATAAATTTAATATTTCTATTAGACTTGAAACAGATCCAAAAGGAACCTATTTAATTTATGATTGGGAAAATATTAAGAAAAATATTGACGAACTGCATGAATCTATAAAAGTATTTATGCACATTCCTTTCTTTCGTTCAGGTCCGGTTAAACTTAGACTAATAAAAATCATTTACAATTTTATAGCCAATCGAGCAAAATATTAAAGGTACAGAAGAATACTTTAGGTCTTCAGCAGAGCTTATGGAATTTATTGACGTATACATTAAGGCCAAAATTGAAGAAAACAAAGAATCTAAAAAACTTTCACAAATTCAAAAGCAATTAGAAATAAGCAATAGAATAAAAGAGCGACTTGAACAAAGGATAGAATCAAACATTAAATTACAAAATGACGAAATTAAACTTATATTATTCGAACGCCTCATCAATATTAAATATGATATGACATTATTCATGGAAAAATATCAATATGCTTACGAATATCGGTATCTATCCGAATCAAATTTGAAACTTTCAGTTATTCAAGAATTCAATGAAAACAATATTAATAGAATGTTTAAAGATCTCGATGAGGTCTCTAATAATAGACCTCAGATAAAATGGACTGTCATTGAATTTAAGGAAAAAAATGTTATTGATGAATTCATAAAAAATAAATCGGTTAAAATTAGTATTCCATCGAATTACAACGAATTAAAAGATTATGCTCGTCTAAGACTTCGTGCATTTAGAGTATACTTAAAAGGAGTTGGAACTACAAACGATCGAATTACTCTTTACATTAATCATTCTGATGATTTTTATGACAGAGATGAAAAAAAGCAAATCCATCATTTTAAATCAAAAGATAAAAAAAGGGAGTTTGAATACATAGTATATGAAAAATATTTTCCTCATCTTAATATAGACAAAACCTACGTAAAATCTGATATCATATATTATGATGAAGCGGATAAAGATTATCATTTTACTCCAACTCTATTTAGTCAATGGGAAATTAGTCTTAAAACAGATACTAATCTGTCTGGATTGGAATCAATTAATATTCATTTGGAATATTATTTTTTTGTGATTGAGAAATAACAAAATAGTTGTAGTTTATAAGGGTCTGTGTTGTGTATTAATTCATGAGAGAGAAATTTCATTTTTTATTTTTGCTCTTCTTTTATATGATTATTTCTCAAAATGGGTAAAGTAGTATTATACGACAATAAAGTTCGGACAGATATACGAACTACGTAAATTTTTATAGCAGATAAGGTTAAACACGGCAAGGCATAACCTTCATTTTCCGATTAGGATTGGGGTTCCAGGGCATGCCTTGGGCATACCCTTTCCAAAAATTTAAACACATCCCGTATCAGTCCGAAAATCAAAACAAACGATACCGCAATAATATATCGGCCGAAAAATTATATTATCGAAAAACTACACTGTTATTACCGAAAAATAATTACCGAAATTTGGATGATCATCACAAAA